ATAAACAAGAAAAATAATTATTTTAATTATTTATTGTCACTACATGGTTTGAACAAGAGACCTATAATTTGAAACAAATATTTACCAATCTATATACTAACGCAAAACAAAAACTAATAACAAAGCCTTATTAATTAAACACATATACAAAAGTCATTACACACACATCACTCTAGCTATGATGACATAGCAAGATCAAGAGTACTAGAAGTATTATTTTTATTATCTTTACTAAACGCGTAAAAGTTTTAATTTTTTTAAAAAATAATATTGAATAAATAAATCCTTAAACATACTTATCACTATAGTTCACGTCTTCACCTAGCTACACCTTGGAATTTTTTTGTTTTCCTCCTTTAAAACTCTTCCAATTATATAAAAAATTTACGACGTAGAATATATAATGTAATCAATTATTCTTTTTACTTAAGTTTTTTCTCCTTTGCAATACGTTTCAATATTTTTACCTCCAATTACTTTAGTTTGAATAAATCAATACAATATACTCCCCCCTTTCTTTAGTTCTAGATGACACAAGCTATCAATTTAACTACTTTTTTTTCCTTTTTTTTTTTTTTTTAAAAAAAAAAAAAAAAGACACTACCTATATTTTTTTTGACAAAATCAATTTAACTACTTAAACCTTCAGAGTATTAATGATATTCAAAATCTTATAAAAATTCTACCGACGCGACCAATGAATAAAGTGATACTATTATATATAGGGGTGTACAAAAATTGGCCCGGACTTGAAACCGGACCTGAACCGACCTGAACCGGACCGGACCTGTTGATTCAGGTCCGGTCCCGGTTCTTAAAAATCCAGGTTCCCGGTCCCGGTCCGGACCCGGTCCAAACCCGGGGTTTTCAGGTCCGGACCTGAAACCCGGGAAAATCGTAATTAAAAAAAAAAAAAAAAAAAAAAAAAAAAAAAAAAAAGAAGAAAACCAAACTCTGAAAAATTGAAACTGAGTTTTCGTGGACTTATTTGTATTTTCGGTGGACTCATTTGTATTTTTGGTGTTTGAGAATCGGGACTTTATAGACTTTATGTAGTTTTGTAATTGATAATTTTGGTTTGTATGTAATTATTAAATTATGCAACAGGTCTAAAAATCACAAAACAGGTCCATATGCAGGTCCAACAGGTTTTGTATTAAAAAAAAAAACGAAAAAGACACAAAACAGGTCCATTCAGGTCCAAACTCGGACCGGACCTGATTTTTCAGGTCTGGCCCGGAACCGGACCTGTTAATTCAGGTCCGGTCCCCGGTCCTCATAATTACCCAATTCAGGTCCCCGGTCCAAACAGGTCCGGTCCAGGCCCGGTCCGGTTTTGGACCGGTGTACACCCCTAATTATATATATATATAAACAAAAAAAAAATTCAAATAGAGATAATCAATGAGCCAATAAGGAATTAGATTCTTGCATCAAATTAAATGCGTAAATGTGAGAGAAATGACCAAATGAGATGCATGCTTTGGGGTTTGGAGGGAGAATATGGAAGTGACCCAGGCCAAAAGATCTTCATGTTCCTCATAATTTACGCCTACGTGCTTGGAGTAACGTCTGTTTATAGTTGAACATTTTGTCTGTTTTTCTTTATTTTTATTCATTTTTCTTGCCATTGCATGCCTAACGGTGTGTTTGGATTGAAGGAAATGGAGGGAAAAGAGAGGAAGAGAAATGGAAAGATGGAGTACCTTTCATTTGGATAGCAAATGAGGAAGGGAGGGAATTGGAGGGGAGAGAAATGGAAGAATTAAATTGTAGGAAATTAATCCCTCCAATAATGGAGAGATTTGGAAGGAAAACTCACCATTCTTCCCTCCTCTTCCCTCCCCTTCCTTTTCCTTCCCCTCTCTTTATCCAAACAAACTGTAAAAGAAATCAGGGCTTTAATGTATAATCGCCTTAACTATTCACAAACTAATCGCAAAGCGTCATATATTAATATATTATGCCATGGAGTATAGAAAGAAAATTTAATAATTTGTCTTTAAGTATCTAGGTTTATAATACTTCGTATTATACAACTTACATAATATTACAGTTAAATCCAGAGACCCCACTTGATCATGAAACAAGGAAATTTTTTCCTCTAAAATGAAGCTTTTTTCCTAAAAAATTTATTATTATTATTATTATTATTATTATTATTATTATTGCTTAAAATTTACTCACTTGACCCCATTAAAATTTGTAAATTGTTATTTGACTCTGTCAAAAAAAAAAAATAAAAAAAAAATCAGTCACTGGTTAAATCTTCAACAAGTAAATGATTTAGATGCTAAATCATTATAAATAAATTCACAACTTTACGGAAAATTAAGTATGAAGCAAATCCCTATTTTAGTTTAGTTGCCAAATGTTCCTTATGCTCTTACGTTGGTTTATACACTACTCTTGCAATTATAACACAAAACAACAACAAATGTTATATGCATTTATCCATTATTAGACAATATATATTAGCGGAACTTTATTACTTTAATTATTATATGATCATTTAAGTGACAAGTGAGGTGTGATATTGCAATAAGAGTGGATGTTGGATCGTATGATGATGAGTTAGTTATGATTTGGCATTTTGGCATCAATCAACGAACACATAATAGTTGGCAAAGACACCAGCTTTCGGTTGGTTTTGTAGAAGGAGGCAACGTCGGTCGTCGATGGTGAAAACTGAAAAGTCAAAGGTGTTAATATCATCTGACACTAGACCACGTCACGCATTATTGTGCTCCTCCATTGCTTCCGCATTCCTCTTTCTCATTTACACGTGTTTTTTTTAAAAATTTTTTATTTTATTTATTACTCATTTATACTTTGGCAATGTTAAATTGTCATTCCAAGAGTAGTGAAATAGCTACTTTAATTTACTGGTAGCATAATTTAGTTGTTAAGTTCTTTAATTTACCTTGAATCACTATTTCACTTGACACTGACATCTAATAAAAAGACTCGTACATGAAAAATTATTGCCAAAAATGGGGCCTAATATGCAAAAGTAAGCTCTTAATTACATTAACTACTCCACCTTTATGCCATATATTTATCATACTATTTTTTTTTATTATGGTAATAAATACTCCATAGTAAACAGGATATTTGCCCATTTTTGCATTCAAGTCTTAATCGTCATCTTTCTTAATTTGTTTATTTGAGCCTTTGGGTCGTTATGGTCATGCGGTACGATTAATTTAGATGTTCCCTTTTTTCCCCCTAATGATACATGTAGCAAAAACGTCATGTAGCTCACCACTGTTAATCTGTTATACAAGTATTGTGTAAATCAGTAAATATCACTGACCAACAATAAGAAAATATCACTCGACACTACATCAATTATCTCACATTAATAGTTGACCTAAGTCATACTTCGTAATTGATAATTAAATATTGACGTACTACTCCGTATTACTAACAAAATAGATACTCCAATCATATTAAATTCATTCATTTTAGTTCTTATAAGTTTGTACGAATTACTAATGAGTTGTATGTTTATTTCAATTCATAGCTAAATATTATATATGCTATTCAAATTAAATAAGTCATAATTATTTTAGGGCCAATAAGTTTAAAAACTTCTTGTATTATTGCTCCTCTACTCCCTAATTGGGTCAATTCCTCATGTACCAAATAATTGATACGATCATGATTTGGACCACTTATATACTACGTATTAAAGAAGCTAGAGTGACTCTAAGGTGAAACACAACGTATAATGTGTACGGTAATTTATATATTAAAAAAAATACCTACAATGAAAGTGATATCTTATGAAGTCACGATAAAGCAAACCAGCCAGAACAGTATACGCTGTTCTCATATCAAAAGTATTGTGAACAAGTATATATGTTTAAGATTGCGTATAGCTTTCAACTAAGTTACCGTGTTTTGGCATTTCTTTTGTAAAGAAAGGTGCATAAATGTTAAATCATTAAAAGTGTTGTGATGATTCATGAATAAGACCATCATTTTTTTTTCTTTCAACATTGTTATCCGATATAATATATAAAAGTGATTGCTAGGACTTAAGAGAATAATATATACAAACTAAAGTATCAAAAATATTTACTCACATGAAATAAGAATTATGAATCACATCTTCCTACATTAATTAGCATCTTTAATGTATTAAAAAATTACTATTAAAGAATAATAGTATATAAATTTATGAAAAGGCAACCAATCAAATCAAATAATAATAAAAAAAAAAAAATCTCATTTCGTACTAATGTCCACCTCAATGCAACCATCCTAATCACATCATATAGTTCATGAGATTGTATATCAATGCAACAATTTGAAATCTTCTATATATGTGATTAGCCTATGATTATCACCTAATGTGCCTTCAAGGCTGAAGTTAATCTTGATAGAATATTATGCTAATTTAACCCTAAAGTTGGTGAAGTACATACACAAGTGACACTCATATAAGTCATATTTTTTTAGGAGTGATGAATATTTTATAATCATAAATCATAATTATAATTTTAATACAAGTAGGTAAGATTGAAATATACATATACACATATAATATTGAAATTAAAAACCGATAAAAAGTAATGTGAAAAATATTCTTTCTAATTAGAGAAAAAAAGCCCGTCCAAATTTCCTTGTAAAGCACGTCTTCTAGAAAACCTATGAAAGTCTATAAATACAAAGAGTTTTTTGCAAAATTTGTCTCTCTTCTCTCAATTCATTTCTCGCTTTCTAATTTCCTTTTTCTTCAGCCGCCTTTCCTTCGCTTCAAAAGCTCGTTTCTTTCTCCTTCATTCCCGTTTCTCCTCCCGTTTCTTTCAGATTATAAGGCGTTTCTTTTAAGGCTTCGTTCTCAAATTGCCAATCTTTCAGATTAATTCTGCATTTTCGACCTCAATTGATTCAGGTAAAATGGTGCAAATTTTGTTTTCTTCTTTAATGATCTTGAAAGTTTAAATCTTTTTGATAATTTGTATATATTTTATGATCCAATGTTGTTTAATTATCGATAAAATGATGTTGAATTTGGCATTGTAATTATGTTTTAATCAATTTTAGATCTGATTTTTTTTTTTTCATTTTTGTTTATGCAATTTTCTAATCATGTTTATGGTTGTTGTTGATGGTTTATAATGACAGCTGTTGATTTAATTTTTTTTAATTATTTCCGTGATTCATAAAATTAATAAAGATTAATTTATTTTTGGTGAAACATGCAAATCAGCTGACTTTCATTAATGGTGAAATCTATGCCCTTTTGTTTAACTTATGAAGAAGTAATTGATTTGTGCATTTTGGCGGTGAACGTGGCGCATGTTGGGTGACTTATTATTATTCATACCTTTTTTATTTAATTTATTTTTGGTTCTATGTTTCATAGATGTATAGAATAACTCAATAAAGTATTAATTTTGTGGTGGTAGTTCTTAACTTTATTTTTTCCCCGAAAATTTGGTGGTTGAATTAATGAGTTAATTTGTTTATTTGGGTGCTTCTAAAGGTAGAAGCTTGACTTTTTCTTGTAAATTTGTTTTTAACTAACTTGTCAAAAATTAATTCTTTCTTGAAAATATTCTAGCTAGGCTACATCAATTTTAATATGCAATTGAAAAATTAATCACAAGCAATTATTGCATGGTCGAAGATCACTACCCGTGAGAGTTTGTTGATTTCTTTGATTAATTTAGTCTTGCAAGTTTTAGTCTTTACCATTAATAACTGGGATATAAAAAGTGTGTCCCATTTCTTATAAACGACTAAGAAAATGACAATTAGTACTTGCAATTTTTTAGTCATGGAAAATGATAGTTTACCCAACCCCCAATTACGTTAGAAAAAAGAAAAATGTATTTATTTCAGGTGGTCTTTGTTTTGTTCCAAGAGCCATACATCATACATGTATGTTATTACAGTGACCTGAAATAGTATACGGGTCGGTCCATAGAAATGGTTTAGTTTAGTACTCCTCATTAGCATAAGTTTGGAAGTTTGTTCTTGGACATTGCTTGAAAATGACCAAGTTTCCACAAACATTCATGTCTTAATCATTAAAATTTTACATTATTAATTTAGTCAGCTGTTATTTTCTTTCTTAATCACAACGTTTTGTGAGTATTAATTAATTAAATAGAGCATTAACTAATTGCTAGCTGTAGCCTTTTATGCTTTGCCTAATTTATGTCACACTCAAGTCTAGCTAATATTATACAAGTATATATTAATGGTTAATATCAATTTTAAAATATGAATTAGTTATCAAATCATGCTGCATATTCTAATAAGTTTGTGCACCAATCGTACTTGTAATTGTTTGGCAATAGAATTTTAGACGCCTTTTTGATTGTAGGAGTGTACTACTTATAGGAAAAAGTTTATAAAGGAGAAGACTTTGTGCAAGATGTTTCAAAAATTTCTTGGCTGTTATTGACTTTCAGCCAAGTTACATTGTCAAAAGTTTGATCTATATTGAATTTCAACTTTATATGTGTGATTGTCATGTTTAATTAATATTTAAAGCCTTTCCAACTCAAGGGCTGCTGTGATGATATGCATATATACCTGCCTTGTCTTTTTCTCAAATATGCACATTTCAACTGTTATACTTCCTATTATTTATGGTGTCAATGAATTAGTATGTACTCCGTCCATCCCAAATTGCTAGCTATCCACATACGGTTGATAAGAATGGCCTTTCTATGACTTGGATAGATTTGGAAAAAAACTGCATATCATATCTTCTTTGCAATACAAAGGAAACTGAAAGCTGCTTAATTAGCCCCTCGTCTAAACCCCCCCCCCCCCTCGGAAACGAAAGCTTGTTTTGGAGAACCCGACAATTTAAACCCTAATAATACTTCCATAGTTTGGATAACCATAATGTGGAGGCTTATTTTAGGTTGGAGAGATTACGATATTTTCTGATGGACTGTCTTCCATCTTGGCCTTTACTATTTCCTAATGGTATGGCTATAGGAACAGGTTAGTCCAAGGATACTTTCCACTGTGTAGGTGTCTCTTAGCTTGTTGTGGTTTTAAACTAGATGTAGGAATTGAAGGTGTTGTTTTTTTCTTGAATACCAGCTGGAAACTTTTAACGTATGTATATCAAATATCAACACTATATTGGAAGTTTATATATAATGTATAATAATATGCTATGTTGGTTTTTCTTACCACATTACAGATGAAATTAAAATTTCACTGCATAATTCTTTGAGTCTAACTCTTTAATTTCTCAGGATTTATTCTGTTTTAACACAGAGGGTGGGGATTTATAAGTGGTCCATTTATTTTTTATATGTTTTTTTTTTGTTGTCTTTTATAAATTTTTTTGTACAATCAACTTTGTGTTTACAACCTACAGTGACAATTCATTTGAAGTAATTCCATAATTTTTCTGTAATGTGTATTAATGTGCCGACTGCTTGAGTTCTGGTGACATAGCTGTGAATAGTTTCTTTGGGACAAAGTGGACCAAATTATTAAGAGTAGCATATTAAATGTGTACCTTACTTTTTTTTTTTTTTTTTTTATATTATTTTATAATAAGGGTATTGAGGGCTTTCCTCTTTCTTTTCCACATGTTTGGTCCATTAAAAATTTTACTCTAAACTTTATAATCCTACCAACTGGCATGTGACATTGGATTTTTTTTGCCAATACTTTGAAATCTTTGAGAAGATTTACTTCCTCGTATGTAAGTAAGTGCATTTACATGATTACATGCTTTTGTAAGCTAGTACATCTTATTTAGTTCAATTCTTTTAGCTAGTAGTGATCCAACTCTGCTTTGAAACTTGTTCATTTACACACAAAAAAAGCATTGTTTATGTCGAGTTTATGATATGGTGTATCATAGTTACATGGTCATTTAGATTGTGTGTGTCATCGGTAGTTGAGCGTATATATATGGGTTGTATAAATGAATAGAATAGGAGAAATAAACCTAGCTTAGAAAGGTGATGGTCATTAATTAATTTATTGCTGAATAACTGATGGTCACTACTTGGTTGCTAGGCCCATAACTTTTTGCATGTTTCCCCAATCTACAAAGTTGTCCCCTCCCTACACCAACTTATCTTTCCTTTGTTAGTGCCACTTCCATTTCAAGAAGTGACAATGTAAGGATTGACAAAACAAAACAATTTATTATGATAACCACATTGTGTGTGATTGTGACTTTTAAACGTGTACTTAGTTAAGCTAATTGCATGGTTTGCTTCAGGATCAAACAAATAAATTAAACTTCCCTGTGTTATTTAAGCTGGGAGGAAATGATTTGCAGCTATCTTGTGTAAATGCAGCTTAGGATTCGAGATGACAAGGTACTTTATTGTGCAGATTTCACATTTATATTGTATTATGATTTTCTTATTTTTTTGCTTCTATGCATTCAACAATTTGGAATTGATAGATATGTTTATTGCTTTTACTAGTCTCCAGGGAATGTTTGCTTGATGGACAGTTCTTCAAGTTGCAGCGATAAGAAAACGTTAAAGAAGTGGTTTTTCATCGATAAGAGGGTTGGATAGTTGAGCTTTTAGCTAAATCATCATTTTCTTAGCTCAATTTCTATACTGATTAGTTAATACATTTATATAAGAAGCCAAGTTAGTCTCCAGTTTTAAGGTACCCTTTACTAGCGAAACTGGATTCGTTGGACATGATTTCAGGCCAAACCTCACCTGTTCTAGCTGATCCCACTCCCATCAATGAGAGAGTAGGTATTCATCCAAGCCTAATGCCTTACTCACATACTGGAACATCGTTCTCAAAGGGGTTGTATATACCAATTCCTAAGAAAAAATCTGGCAAGCTTGAAGATGCTATGTCTAGTGGTTGGTTAGATGCCATGAAGTCTTCGTCCCCTCCTCGCAAGAAGCTGCTAAAGGACTTCAATATTGGGGTTGCTTCAGACGACACTGATTTTGTTTACTCTTCTTGGATGGTAACACATTTTCCTCATTAGTTTAATAGTTCCTCTGTTTTTTTAGTTGACACTATTTGACATTTACAGTATTTACAAACTATGTTTTGACTAGCTTTTGTGATTTATAGCTGCGATAAAACATAGTCAAGCGAGATCTTGTTTGAATCATCTCAAGATATACGTTTATTAATAACCACTTTTTATAATTTTTCAATGTTGAGAATTAGAGATATTAATCGTTAAAATACTGCTTTGACAAACGTAATAAAAGAAATGTGTTAACTATATAAAAACGGAGTTAGTATATTAGTAGCAAGTGTGCATTGGCTTTATTTAATAAGTTTAAAATTTGTTTTTGTTTTTCTTATTCTATAGAAGAAGCATCCATCTGCCTTGACTTCATTTGAGCAAATCTTCGGTTCTGCTGAGGGTAAGAAGATTGCAATTTTTTTGGACTATGATGGGACCCTTTCTCCCATTGTCGACGACCCTGATCGTGCACTTATGTCTGATGATGTAAGGATCTCTAATTGTTGGTAATCTATTGTTATTTTACTTTATTTGTATTTATAGCTTTGTCTAAATCATCTCTGCAAAATTTGTCAAATAACCAGATGCGCTCTGCTGTGAGAAATGTTGCCAAGTATTTTCCAACAGCGATAATCAGTGGAAGAAATCGTGACAAGGTAATTAACAAAGCCATATCTCGATCTTTATTTTCAGACATGCTCCGGTGCTATTGAGATTAATGTATAGTCTTCCTTGTGCATTTCCTCAGGTATGTGAGTTGGTAGGTCTAGCCGAATTACACTATGCCGGTAGTCATGGGATGGATATAATGAGCCCAGTGCACAAAGTGTCTGATGGCAATTCTAACACTAATAACTCTACTGACAATCAGGTGAGATTTGGAGCCTTTATTTCAATGTAAAATTGACATATATGGTATCAATTTTATTTACATCCATCTGTTTTGCTTTTGCAGGATAAGGAAGTTAGTTTGTTTCAGCCTGCTAGTGAATTTTTACCCATGATCGATAAGGTGGGTTACTTCTTGCATTTAAAATTTTTCTTGCCACTTGGGTTAACATGTTATTGAATATGCAGCTAACGTTTGTCATCCATCGTTTCAGGTTTTTAAAACCCTTGTTGACATGACTAAGGATATTAAAGGAGCAAAAGTTGAGAACCACAAGTTTTGTGCATCTGTACATTACCGTAATGTTGATGAGAAAGTGAGTAAATTACATTGTTTTTTTTTTAAACAAATGACTCTCTAATTATGACATTACCTTACTGTATCTGTTTTGTAATCTGAACTGCAGAATTGGCCTACTATTGCTCAGCTTGTTCATGACATTCTCAAAAGTTATCCTCGCTTACATTTAACTCACGGGCGAAAGGTACTGGCAGGCATCTCAGCAATTTCTTCTCTAGATTTCTGTCTTAGAGACTTCTGGCAAAAGTGAGCTATGCGGTTTTTGATGTGTGTTTGGCAACTGATTTATATTATGCAGGTTTTAGAGGTTCGACCCGTTATTGATTGGGATAAGGGGAAAGCAGTCGAATTTCTGCTTGAATCCCTTGGTACTTTCCACCTCTCTCACTATGCTTCTTTTTTTTTTTTGTCTTTTCTCCCAACCCCAGGCCTGGCTGCCTCAGGCGAGGTCAAGCCCCTCTTCTGTTGGCAAAATGTCTGCATTGTGAAATGTTTTGTTAAAAATTCTTGTATCTTTTGAACAAATATAATGCAGGCCTAAGTGATTGTGACGATGTGCTGCCGATTTTCATAGGAGATGACAAGACTGATGAAGATGCATTTAAGGTGTGCATATAATATTGCTACACATTTTATACTCAAATTTTTACTGTTAAACAACGTTGTAGTAAATGTCTGGTTTAATATTTGTTAGGTGCTACGGAATGGAAACCAAGGTTATGGTATTCTAGTATCCCCAATCCCAAAAGAAACCAAAGCATTCTATTCTCTCAGGGACACTTCAGAGGTAGTTAATCTTTTGCCTTAAATTTATAATTTACTTGTGTGAAACTCAAATTATGTTCATTCAGGCAACAAGTTTCTGATCTTTGTATATTTTATACTACTTGGGATGAGCAGGTTAAGCAATTTTTGGAGGTTTTAGTGCAGTGGAAGGAGCAGCACAGTACAAAGAGCAGCACAAATTAATTTATAGGCTTTATGATTATATATTTTTAGGCTAGTGATAAGAATTTTCATTATATGCAGCAAAGGCTGCCTGCATTTTTCACAAGTTCCAGTTGAAGCCTGTGATCTTAGTTTCTTCTTTTCTAAGCTTTTATTTTTTTGAAAATTTTCCATGTCTTTCCCACCTTCACAAGTAAATGTATGTTTAAGGGTGGAGAGCAATCTCAATTATAATCTTTGTCAAGTGATTAATCCCAAGGCTTTTGTGTTTGTTGTAGTGTTGTGTTTCTGCCTCGTCCCCTCACTCACCCCACCTCTAATATGGAGCGTTTGCATTCTAAAGTGCCTAACATTTTTTTCTATAGCGTTGTATTTGAAACCATTACAAAGGTTCCAAAATTTGTGCAACCCAACTACCATAAATCTTTTCTTTTCAAGATTGTAGTTTTATTAATATATTGTGTTAGAGAATTTATACATGTAAAGGACGGAACGGTATTGTTAGTGTATTAGGTCTTATGTATTCATCTATATATACATATCGTCAAGGCGCTCTATTGAGGGTGAGCCTTAATTTCCCAAATGCTCGTACATAGGGATTGACTAAATTGATGCTTTTGTTTAGAAGTGCTTCCCTTAAAGCAATCTTTCTTTTTGTAATGGTCTCTGGAAATGATATGACCCTATCTATTGAATATTGTACATTGGTGGGGTTTCATCAGATTTAAATGTTTTTTCCCTTTTCCTTATTAAAGAACCATATGCCCCTTTCATCAAGTTGATTTGGCGAATTCTTAAAACATAGTTACAAACAAATCATGCAATGGATCAAATAGCTTATAAGATATGAATCAATCCATTATGTTACCCAATTTTTTCTTTTCATCTAAAAAAACCTATGTTAGGTTAATGGATCCACAACATTCGACCATGACTATAATACCTTGACACTTCATTTAAAACTAAAATTATTGGAATTTTCATGAAATTATTGAGTTAGACACTTGGACACATACTCGTGTCAAACAATAAACACACAAGTCTAAGTAACATATTCAATCATAATCTTAATAAAAGATTACAAAACCACTCTTATCACTAGTGGTGGGTCGGGTTAAATGGGAGACCCGCCCCATCCCCGCCTAAGTGGGGCGGGGATGGAGGGAGGTTTGGCGGGTGATGGGGCGGGGATGGGTATAAAATATGTACTCGCCATGGGTGATGGGGCGGGTATGGATTTTAGAGCAGTAGACCCGCCCCATATCTGCCCCGCCCCGTACCCACCTTATACCTGCACCATATTTCTTTTAGAAGAGTTGAGAATTTATGAAACTTGATACCCCCTAAGACCCAATAAGCTTGAATAGTGAAAGTCTCAATTTTCTTAACCTAATTTGATATAATCGTCATTAATGTGATACAATAGAGCATCATGGCAAAGGGTTTGGGACGGTTTTGGGGCGGATATGAGGTGGGTATGAATATCCAAGTGGGTGATGGGGCGAGGATGGATCCTATCTTGTACTCGGTGGGGCGGGTATGGATGTGGATATTGTACCCGCCACGGGTAGTGGGGCGGGGATGGGTATAAGATTTTTAGGCGGGTATGGGTATGGAGGTACCATCATCCGCATCCGACCCGCCCCATTGCCATCCCTAATCAAGCTTGGTGAGGTCGAGTCAATTTTTGAAGTTAAATCATACTAAATTATTATGCCCACACAAGTTAAAATTTGAATAGGATTTTTTCAAGCCAATTTCAAACTGAGTTGGAACAGGTATGCTTTTCACATGTTCAAAATATTACTCCAAAATTTGAATCAAGAAAATATTTACCCAAAATTGGCCAAAAAAACCAAAAAAAATAAAATAAAAAAACCTCTTAGACAAATTTATTACTCCCACTCACACAGTATCAGAGTAAGCGCGCACACAGAAAGAGAAATGTCTGCAACAACTTTGTCTTCTCCGCCATCATCTCTCTCCTCTCCTCTTCAGGTAATTCTTCTCTTCTCTTCATTTTCTCTCTCTTCTTCTCCATTTCCATTTTCATCAACATCTCTGCAATTTTAATGGCAGCAGGGGTTAGGATCCAAGCTTCCTCTTCGTCCTTATCTCACCTTCAACTTCCGACGATCATCAATTGCATTTCCTCAACTTCGTGCTTCTGCTAACAATCTATCTTCTTCTCTCGATTCTGGTAATTCATCTTTTTTGCTCACCTTTTTGATACTTTGAATTTGTTTGTGATTATGATTGTTTTGTGTTGATTTGAAGATTTGAACTCTGAACTTGATGCTGTTTCGAGGTTCAGTGAGATTGTTCCCGACACCGTCATTTTCGATGATTTCCAAAGGTTATTTACCTTTTAATTACTTGTTTTCGCTTCTTTTTTTCGATTCGATTGTCTTATTATCTTTGATTTTGATTTTGATTGAATTTGTAATCATAGGTTTCCACCTACTGCTGCTACTGTTAGTTCATCGCTTTTGCTAGGTATTTTGAGTCTTCCTGATACAATTTTCAAGGTATTAAGGTTATATTTCAAAAATTTGGAGAAGATTTAAAGAAAATTGAATTGTTGATTATGTGATTAATTTGAAAATGTTTGTTTAATTTGGTTGTAGAGTGCGGTTGATACTGCCTTGGCAGATTCTGAGTGTGCTACTATTGGCAAGTTGGATGCTAGATTGTCATGTTTTTACGATAAGGTTTCACCTATTTTCTTTAATTTCATTTGAAATTTGTTGAATATTTTTGCTGGATCAAGTTTATGATTTGTGATTGTTTGGGGATGTATAGGCCCTGGTGAATTGTGGTGCTGATTTGTCTAAGCTAGTACCTGGTAGGGTGTCGACTGAAGTGGATTCTCGTCTAGCCTACGACAGTCATGGGATAATTCACAAGGTTACTTACTCGCATACTCTGATCTTCTTTGAATGGTGCATCAATAAAGTTCAATTAAACTTGTCAATGCCTTTTAATGTAGCAATATGTATAAAATTGCTCTGCTCCATTGGAGTGCTTTTAATGGATGAGCATCAACAATTCTTCTTTGTAAATGGAATATGGTTGTTTTTTTGTTGTGATTGACAAACCTTTTTGCGATCTTTTCATTCCTTATGAACTATCACTTTCTATCACAGTCTTACACCCCCCCCCCCTCTATTCCTTTGACAAGCATACATGTCTTCGAAATCTTCAAAGCAGCACAATAATTCAATAAATGAAAGAATTCTCAATACTGAGTGTCTTTACGTGGGCATGAGGTGATAAAAGTATTGGGGAATGCTAAATTACTGTAAAAACCTAAGCAATGTTTTACAATCGGTCGTGCATCTGATATTTGAATATATGGAATACTGGGTTGCAATTATCTGTACATGCTACATCCTTTTTGCACTAAAAAGGTAAATCATCCATTCCCCATTCTTGATGTCTTCCTAAAGGTGTCTTAAGAGAAAAAAATATCAACTTAAGATGTACAGCTGTTGTGGGCAAGAGGTGGAAGTGCTATACCACTTTAAGCTTTTATGGCCATTCAGGCATCCAGCCATCTCATCACCGTGCCATTCGAGCTTATCTATGCTACATTTGTGAAATGCACTTCCTTCATTCCTTGTTATATGTCCACCTAACAGACAAAAAAAAAAAAAAAAAATCCACATTGCATGTTACTCATATTTATGCACTTTACAGGGCAGTTTAAAAGTATCATTGTAATTTTATATGTCAGCTTAGAGTGCCAATAAAATAATTCAGGATGTTTTATTCACTTGAATTTGATTTGTCTGAATTTATTGTAGTTGTGACTTGAACTTTGATATCCTTATTGTATCTTATACCAACTTAATGTGAAGTCACGGAGCCATACAATTTTTTGAGTATGCACAACTATAAAAGACACCTTTGTGATAATAGAGGAATTATTTTCATTTTTATCATTTTTTTTTGTTTATGTTGGAAGGAATGAACCTCTGACATGGCATGATTTCCTTTGAACGTATAACTTTGTAAATGAAAGCTGCTCCATCACAAATCAATTTCGAGCTGCATGCTTTGTAAATTGACTCAAACTATAGTCTCAGATTCCAAAAAAAAAAAAAAACTTAAAGTCTCAGATTACAAAAAAAAACTAAAGTCGTAGATTCCAAACCTTGCAAACAGTGTTGAATATAGGGAGCAGTAGATTTCAATAACATTAGATTGTCATTCATGAAATAATTTTTCTAGTTCAAAGTCACAACTATGTTGCTATCAAAATTTCAGGTGCACAAACTTTTGAAGCTATACAATGATGTTGAGGTCCCCGCAGAGCGTTTGCTGTTTAAGATTCCTTCAACATGGCAGGTTCTTAGAAGCAATATCTTTTAGTCTGTTTGATCCATTCGCTGTGTAAGTGTGAATCTACCAATTGTTAGTAATTAATGTTACAAACTTACAATTGTTAATTTTATGTTCTCAGGGAATAGAGGCTGCAAGGGTGCTGGAATCTGAGGGCATACAGACCCACTTGACTTGTGTTTACAGGCATGGATATATAGCAACTCATGCATTTTTGGTGATTTGTAGGGATCAAATTATTTTAAATGATAGTTCTATTGCTCCACCACTTGGGAAAATTTAGATTGTTTCTCTTGTAAGTAATGGATATAAGCTAACTGAATTATAAGTTTAAACCATGTTATCCATCTCCAAAGTTGCAAATTGTTTGTCTTAAATCTCGTCAATATCTCAAATTGTGTCGTTTTAAATCCACTGTGCTAATACATATTTCATGCACCACCTCCACAGTAACTGCTTTTATTCTAATTGAGTTCAAGCTTTAAATTAAAATTAAATAATAAAATCCTAGGACTATAGGGTTACTAATGTGTGAAACTAGGAAAAAAGAAACTCTATTTGTTTCGGATTTAATTATCTTGGGGGTGTATATCAATCCTTCCACCTCTCAATTGTTGTCACCTTGTAAATCGTTGATTCCAAAGGTGGCAAATGTTCTAATTGACAGATTTATTAGGTTGATTTTTTCTGGTTAGGTCTTAGGTATGCATGATTACAAATCTATGCATGTGGCTGCTGCTACATGTTGCTTATATGTTTTTTATTTTAATTTAATTTTATTTATTTATTTATTTTTTTGGCGATAATTCAGCTTTGCCCAAGCATCTGCAGCAGCCCAAGCTGGAGCATCTGTTATTCAGATTTTTGTTGGTCGCATAAGGGTAAATTTCCACCAGAAGGAAACATTGAGCTGCATGCAATTTTGTGTCTCGTTTCTTTGTTAATATTGTGTAGTTATTTAGGATTGGGCACGTAATCATTCCGGTGACTCTGAGATTGATGCTGCACTTGAAAGAGGGGAAGATCCTGGGTTGGCTTTGGTGAGTTACAAATGACTTCCTAAATTACTGCTTCCATTCTGCTAATGTCTACATGTGTGGTGATTTCAACTGCTTAGTTTAATTTGAAATGAGACATTTGATCTTTGAACTACAAAAGAGCTTGGTGAGTTACAAATGACTTACTAAATTACTGCTTCCATTCTGCTAATGTCTACATGTGTAGTGATTTCAAAACTGTTAGTTTAATTTGAAATGAGACATTTGATCTTTGAACTACGAAATAATATCCTTTGAGACGTGTGAATGAGCTGCCACTGATACAATTAGACTTGACGGATTTGACCTTGATCTTTTCATTTTTATCTTTACTGAACCTAGTGATTGGTATTGAACAACCTTGTGTAGTTGTGTTCCTGAACAGGGGGGGGGGGGGGGTCAGCTCTGTATGTCATTATCACTAAATGTCAATGATGCTTGGGAAGAAATCGAATGAGTTGTTTTGCTTTCTTGAATCTTTACAATTACACTTTTGCCTCTACTCTTGTACAATATTTTTTATTGCATGCCTAGCAAAGCTGCCCTTATGTCATTTACCGTACAGTTCATGTTGTAAAAGCAGTTTATCATTAAGCTCGTATGCAGTTGAGTGGACAATCTTGTTTTGCCTTGTGCTCTCATAAAAGTAGTTTATGAAATTTGGATTAACCTAGGTTTGTAATTATACGTTACCATGTTGAGTCTTTTGGAACAATATGTTACTAATGTTCACTTGTTAATGGTAAAAATGAACACTAAGCCTTGTCTCATTATATGGAACCGTTACAGGTGACAAAAGCATATAATTATATTCATAAATATGGTCACAAGTCAAAGCTAATGGCAGCAGCAGTTCGCAACAAGCAGGACCTCTATAGTCTTCTTGGGTAGGGGTACCTACTAGCTTTAAAATGCTACTCCTGTTAAATGTTTGAGTTCTGAAGTACTACCTGATCCTACTCTGTTTCCTATTCTCAATCTTCAGGGTTGATTACATCATAGCACCTCTTAAGGTACTGGGGTCGCTAAAAGAATCTATAACCTCTCCTGATGAGAAATATGCTTTCATGAGGAGGCTATCCCCACAATCTGCTGCTACATATGAGTTCAGCAAAGAAGAGGTTTGCTTCCATCTTTGCTTGCATATTTGCATGTGTACTTGTTGAGCTTTTGATGAGATCTTCAAATTATAACGATTCTGTAGTAGAGTGCTTGTGATCTGAAATGAATCTAACATTTTTTTTTTCTCAATCCAAATCTATGAATTTAAGGATGAAGTAATTGCTTAATGAGATCTTGTTGTATAGTAATCCTGTGGCCTTTCTAATATGTCTCTGCTGCATTCTTAGAATAAAAGAAAAAAACAAGGCAATTTGGGCTGGTTTTTCACTTTAAATTAGTAGGAATATTCATCTTATATAAGCTGAGTGGGTTCATTGTTGGTGACTGTGTGTCACAAACCCACCAAAACAAATGTTTAAATCTTAGTGGTACTGTGGAATTGACCCCTGCTTTTAGCCGTTATAGACTTATTGAGTGGAGCTAGGAAGCCTAGGACTTTGGGTTAGGTGGGCTAGGTTTTCTTTTCCTCCAGCCTTAGCCCTAAGCTATCCCATTATGTTTGGTTGACCTTGTTATTGATCTTTGGTTGTCAAATTGGAGCTGCTTTCCAAAGCCCTAGTCAATGAAAAGTGCCCTGCGTTAACCAAGTAATTCTGAACTCGTAAATTTCAGTGAAAGTTATAGATAGAACTTAGAAACATAAGAAGAATAATCTTAGATGAGACAGTAAGACCCCAACTAGAAAATCAAAAAGTCTTATGTGGTAAAGATATACGAAGTATTATATATCAAAAGGGATCATTGTATCCAGGATTCCCTGAAGGTATTATTATTTATATAATTATATCCAAATTATATCCACCCCCCAAAGGCTATATTAGCATTGCTATTTGCCACCAATAAATTAAATTTTTACATCTTGAATAGCACACTTGAGGGTGGGGATGCTGATCTTTTCTTTTATGTCAGCTTGTGAAGTGGGACCAAAGAAGCTTGGCATCAGCGATGGGGCCTGCTGCAGTTGAGCTTCTCACTGCCGGGATTGATGGTTATTCTAATCAAGCAAACAGAGTTGAGGAGTTATTTGGAAAGATTTGGCCACCCCCGAATGTGTGAATATTCGATGCTCTTGCGTGCAACTGAGGACTAATTTTCTCTTCCAAAAGAGTAATATGATGCATTCACCACTTGACTCGGCTAATCTTTTGATCTCTGGAAATAAACAGCCTTCCCTTTCTTTTCCTCTATTGGATGAGAGATGGCATGCTATCTCGAATAAAAGATATTATCCTTTCTACTTATCTAGACTGTTGACTTGTCAAATATAAACTAGAAGACTTACCTTGTTTCTTTGTGCTTTGGGGATGGCCAGATGGGGGCATCTCTTGAATGTCATTTGACACAAACATAAATGGTTTACTGTTTATTAATTTCAAGGAAAATATTTGTGATATACAACGAATGAGTTCCGTCAGCTTCTTATCCTCAGCTTGTGGTCTTAAATTTACTTAGCTTGGAAAAACATCCATGATGATACTTGGAATTACCCGAATTTAATTCACTATATTAACTCTATACGTCTAGTCTGGTAGTCATTCCATGTAGCGGTGAGATTTATCTTGGTGGTCGAGTAGATGAATCTTGGCCAAGAGCCACTTAATATATTTGACGAGTCTTCATACGTCGAATTTTAGGGGACCACGATATGGTGTATGTAGTTATGTACATGAAAATAGAGTTTTGGGGGATAAAGTTGTGGAAGGGATCTTGTTGAGAGAGAAAAAGAAAGGGAGATCCATTATTTGGAGGGTCATCAGTATTGTTTGTATTGGTTTAAAACCTACTACCCCAGCTATGAGATTCATTCTTTAGAAATAATTCATCTGAACCAAATCCACTGATTACTATAATCTGAGCTGTGTCTGATCATTTAACTAGGATAAGAAACTTGCAGTAATCATTTTTAGCTGACATAAATATAAATATCCTCTTTAATTTAGAACAACTTGTTTCCACATTCCCCATCTTTATTCTCTGTGAAAGATTTACTGACAATTATAACTACTTGCAAGTTTTAACATGGTCTTAGTCACTGCATCTGACTTAAACAAATAAGACAGGCCTGCTTAACATGAGAAGGTTTATATAGCACCTTGATATCTTATTACCCAAAACCTCTGAAAAACAAAGATTTAGGTTGATATTAATTAGCTTACACGGGTTAGTCAAACAAGCTAAGTAAACCAATTAAAATTCCGATTACCAGTTGTCGAACAGGGCACTCTACACCAAAACAATACCCCGCATTTGTTTGAGCCTTAAAGCTCAGATTGATTGAAAGTCCTTTTCTCCATTCCCTCCCCAATTTACTCCTTAAATAACACAAGTACAACATACACAATAAAATAAGGCGATTATCAAGGGATTAGGAGATAAATTAACCACAAAGCAATACGTGTAAGTTAATAGTAGGAGTTCCGAGTTCGTAATAAGGTGGGTGGATCCATAATCCAGATCACGTTCTGCTGTTGATGTATCATGTACGTTGATTGCTACAATTATGGATAGAAAATGAGAGGGGCATGTGATGTGAGGGAGCTAAGAAATTAGGAATTAGAGAGTTGTGCACAGCAAACATGTGCATAATAGGACCCAATATTAACATGGTTTGTCTGCCCTTAAAATCAATTATTAATACCAACTTAAAAAACCCAGGCCACCCCATCAATCATTCAACCTGTCTACTTACTATTCATACTGATTACTGGCTACCTTTGGCTTCATTGGTGGTTTTGGATTATGTTATTCTTTTCCTTTTGTCTTCTTCAATATTAACCACATTCATCACAATACATAGCATGTTTTTTGATACTATAGATCGCCAAAATTTATTTTTTTTTGCTTTTGTTTTACCAATTCCAAATTATTTGAATTATTTGGTAATGCAGAATACTATTAGTTTATTACTTTATTAGTCTAACATTAACCCTTTTTGGCCATGATTTTCTTTCAATCAACTATTATTTTGTAATATATTGAAAGAAGAATCAAGTGGTCGATAGTGGTTGTGATCAAGTAATGTCCCTTCTATTATGAGGTTGACGATTTGAATTTTATCTATTTTGTACTCGTTTTTAAGAATAACTCCTTGTTACCTTAACAAAAACTTGGAGGGAGTACTTCGTTTGGTAAATATTTTTAAACATTGCACATTATTTGCATCTAAAACCTAATTTGAACATTATACAAATCCGGAGTTGCACGTGTATATAAATTTATAAAATGTCATTATCATTATTAAGATAACTGGAAAATTGTGTGGAGGAGCTACATACCTTATCTAAAGGGGTTTTCGAGGATCATTGCTATCAATGTAGAGTCCTTACTTACTCAAATTTGTCTCCTCTTCAAAATTTTATCCTCTAGAATTGCAACTCCAAATGAAAACTTTTATGTAGTTTTAATTATAACTTAAACCTTTTTGGGCTACATGGAGCTTTTATGAAGAGATAATTTTGTTTTTTTTAAGGATAAATAAACCTTTTCCATAGAAACAAAAATAACGCAAAAAAATTGAAAAAAAAAAAAAGTAAGGCATATACAATTGGCCTAATGGGCAGCGAATAAAATATATTGAATATTCTGAAAGTTTACAGTTGTTCCTGGGTTATACTCATGCACACAAAACAGAAGTAATAGAATCTACGATTTTCATTGTTACATTAAAATCAATAATATAATGCAACTTCCCTAACATGGATCAATGTCTCTATTTCTCTCTCTAATCAAGCGGGAAGAAGCGGCCATTCTTTAGGTAAATTAATATTTTTATGTGATTCTCAAATCTCAAGCAAACATACACTATAAATAAACCAACTTTTTCTCTCATTCACATTCATTATTACTTGTTGGCAAATCACTTATATTTGCCATCCTGTCTTTTTTTTAAAAAAAAATTTATTTACCTTTTTTTCAAAGTCCTATCAATATCCAAATACTTTGTATAACAAACCTTACAAATCTAAGCAACACTACAATGGTTGAATCCTCGGATTCTACACTCCCCTACTCCTACGCACCATTGGCCCCTAGCCATGACCAATGTGACATTGGTTCGGCTGATGATAAACAACGAAGGAGACGGTCCTTAAAGATCGGGGTGCTCATCTTTTCTGGCCTCATGATATGTGCATTGATCGTCAGTTTTTTGGATTACAATAATCAGTCCATTGTCGTCGACAGTGAAGGTGTCAAGCCTGATGATTTAAAGTTGTCGAGGCCACCACCTGAGAATTTGGCTGGTGTAGAAGTTGTGCCGGGGTCAGAGGAGTTGTTGTTTAAGGTTACGCGTGGTAAGCCTCATGGTGTCTCGGAGAAGGCTAATGGGTTTCCATTGCGCGGCCTTAGGCTGCCTTTCTTTGATTGGAATGATCTCCAGTTAGCTTGGCAGAAAACTTCTTTTCACTTTCAACCACAGAAGAATTGGATGAATGGTACTTTTTTTTAATCTTATTAACTTAATATTATATACGAAGTATATATTTTTTAATATTGATATCATAATACGATCATAATCTGTAATAGCTGATAGACCTGTCAAAACTGAGACTTAATAAGCCATAAACTGATTTTTCCCTGATAAATTTTAATTCATTAGGAAATTAATTTATTGAAATGGACATGAGCCGGCCAATGGGAATAAGCTCTAACAGCTAGCAATGCAATCATGTGACAATGTAACTAGGGAAATGGTATGGTTTTATTAATACTTTTAAAAAGGTAGTCAGATCATAGAAAAGTGAAAAAAATAAAAAAATAAAAGATAATTAAAAGAAAAAGGGGTGTCACAAAATCTATATGACAGTGTGTTAAAAAAACAAACTGATTTGTTGGAGGACTTTAGGTTTAGATTAAGATGTTATAAGTGGAAGTATATTCTTTGATCAAAAATACCAAAAGGAAGAAGTGTCCTGCTTCATTGGCTCTGTTGCATTACTACCTGGCATAACGGTATAATCATATTATATACAGATAAAAACACTCAAGTATGGTATATAATCTCTAAACTGCATAATGCCAATGTATGGTTCTGATGATTTTTTAACTTTGGACTTTCTAACATTATCTTTTTCCTTTTCTTAATCTTCGCTGTTGGTGATTGGTCTTGCTGTGGATGTTGAATTGTTCGCCATCAGATCCAAACGGTAAAGTTGCTCCTCCTTTAAGTTATGATCTGTCATGTATTCAATTTGCTTGACAATGAATTAAGGTTTATAATATAGCATGCAGCTGCCTGCATGATGGATTACAGCTTAATATATTTGTGCAATATGCATTATTTTGATTGTGTTGAAACTTCACAAGTAAAAGTACTAAGAACTAAGAAATATCCTTCAATCGGAATCATTTGTAGCATATGTTGTAACCTATGATTGCATAGCTGCAAACATGATTTTCTTTTTCCACTGTTGTCATTGTTTGAACCATCTGAAAACCTTGTTCTCTTGGTTTACAAACATCTTTTTCAATCAGAATTTATCAGATGTGGTCAGTAAAAATTTTAGTTTTGGTTAATGAGCAACAATTAGCCAGGAATTTAATTTTTGGTTAGGAGTATAATCAGTTGAGTTTAGTTAAAGAGATCATGACATCAGTGTCATACGTTATTCAACAAGGATAATATTCACCCGACAAAAGTAGATACTTCAAATTAGAACTATTAAATATATGCTGTAACCAAAGTGACTACCCTTTTTCCCTATGATCAAATTAGCATGTGCAAGTCTTCATTGTTTTCACTTAGATTACACTAGCAATGGCTGCAAGGCTAGAGAAATTTGCATAGATGTCCCGAATTTCATTCAAAAACATGATTAAATTACTTGCAAACTTAAATTGAAAATTGCATCCCAAATCTGATGAAGCTAAAACTATTAAACAGGTCCATTATACTACAATGGGTGGTACCACTTCTTCTACCAGTACAACCCTGAAGGTGCAGTCTGGGGTAACATTGTTTGGGGCCACGCTGTGTCCAAGGACCTCATACAGTGGATCCACCTTCCTATAGCCATGGTGGCAGATCGCTGGTATGACTTCAACGGCGTGTGGACTGGTTCAGCCACCATCCTACCTGATGGTCAAATCATGATGCTCTACACTGGATCAACCAACGAGTCAGTTCAAGTCCAAAATCTTGCCTATCCCGCTAACTTGTCTGACCCACTTCTCCTGGAATGGGTCAAGTACCCTGGTAACCCAGTTCTCGTTCCTCCTCCAGGAATTGGCAAATTGGATTTCCGTGACCCTACAACTGCCTGGTTGACCTCAGAGGGAAAATGGAGGATCACAATCGGGTCCAAGATCAACAAAACAGGCATTTCTCTTGTGTATGAGACCACTGACTTTAAGAACTTTGAGCTCTTGGATAACATTCTCCATGCTGTGCCAACCACTGGTATGTGGGAGTGTGTTGACTTCTATCCAGTCTCATTGACTGAGACCAATGGGCTTGATACCTCCATTAACGGTCCATTAGTGAAACATGTGCTCAAGGCAAGCATGGATGATGATAGGAATGATTATTATGCGTTGGGAACCTATAGTGAGGCCAATGGTACATGGGTTCCTGATAATGGTGCCATCGATGTTGGCATTGGACTAAGGTATGACTATGGAAGGTTTTATGCTTCCAAGACATTTTACGACCAAGAAAAGAAGAGAAGGATTTTGTGGGGTTGGATCACAGAAGGTGACAGTGAAGCAGCTGATGTAAAGAAAGGATGGGCATCTCTCCAGGTACATTCAAATTATCTTCTACAAATTTATTTTTTCTGTTTTAGTTTTACTAACAAGAATTATAAGACAATTTTGTAATTTATATTGCTTGATGATTATACAGGGAATTCCAAGAACTGTTCTGTACGACCAGAAGACTAAAACCAATTTAGTTCAATGGCCTGTGGAGGAATTAGAAACCCTTAGATACAACAGCAAGGATTTTGACAGGGTTGAAGTTACTGCAGGATCTGTTGTGCAACTGGATGTCAGCGCAGCTACAGAGGTTCGGATTCATTCTTTAACCCTTTTTTATTAGCTCATTTGTTTTGTTTAATTGTAGAGCCGATTATATAAAATCTTTCCTTGCTTCAAAAACTTATAATCTCATGCTTTGGTTACTCTACAGATGGATATTACTGCAGAATTCGACATTGAAAAAGAGGCATTGGAAAGCTTACCTGTTACAGGAGAGAAGTATAGCTGCCCTGCCAGCAAGGGAGCCGCTCAGAGGGGTGCTCTTGGTCCTTTCGGGTTATTGGTTCTTGCTGATAATGATCTCTCTGAAATGACTCCCATCTATTTCTATGTGGTCAAAACCTCTAGTGGCAACTTCAAAACTTTCTTCTGCACTGATTTATCAAGGTCTGTATATCTTTAAAATACTATCATTGCTCTGATTGTTCTTCATCATATCTTCTTAAATTGCGAACATGTCTAAGCTCTTCTTTGGTTGATGATATATACATATGCAGGTCATCTATAGCAACTGATGTTTCCAAAGCCATCTTAGGTAGCACAGTACCAGTACTCAAAGGCGAACAATTATCCATGAGAATTCTTGTAAGCTGACCTGATTTACTCTGTGTTAAATCTCCCCTCCAGGCTTCTTGCCAAAATCTAACATCATGTCATTTGGAAACAGGTGGATCATTCAATAGTAGAATCCTTTGCTCAAGGCGGTAGAACCTGCATCACATCCCGGGTTTACCCAACACACGCCATATACAAAGACGCAAAGCTATATGTATTCAACAATGCAACTGAGGCCAGTGTGACAGCATCTGTCAAGACCTGGCAAATAAGTTCTGCATGTACGTTCTACTATTCCATTTGATGAAATTTCATCCACATTCTTCTTTATTCGTCTCTCTTTACGAAACATGGGCTCTTACAATTTCCTTTCTTTCCTTTGTTTTAATCATTATATTGTGTTTATGTATGTAGGAAACCATTACATAGAAGAAAAGAGAGACAGTCTGCAATTCATTTGATGGAAGAGGATAAGCAATGGGAGTGGAGTGAAGTCGAGTTGAGTCAATCACAAGCCATGCCATGCAATGCCGTTCATTCATTCATTTATTCATTATACAGCAATCATCATACACATATCTATGTTTCTTGGTCACAAGAAAATCACAATTTTGGGGAGAAAATAAATAAACATATTCTCCATAATCATATCGTTGAGATATTGGTTAACTGGTGTGGTCGTTTGTCCCCCATTAGTTTTGATGGCTCCCCCCATTACTCAATCCCAATCCCTTCAATCAGCTCATTAAATTGACGTTCATTCATCCTTTATTTATTTCATTGTTGGAGAATTAGAGATAGCGAATTTTGTTTCTTTATCAGTTTCCTATTACAAATACTTGATATTAATAAAAACAAGAAGCTCATTGTTCATAAATTAAAGCTCGTCTGATGATTTAACTTTCGATGGATCCATCTTGAATTTTTCTCCCATATATGTTTGACAAATGACAATGACAATGACAATGACTAAACTCTCTTCCTACTTAAGTCATTATGTGTAGAGACATGTACGTGATCCCTAATACATACCGACTCCTAGCTACTTGAGCAGTTGAGTGACGACCCTTATTATGTAATGTGATTAGTGACTAGCGAGATTATTTTCAGGAACGGAAGTAGTATTAAAAGTTATTATACACAACCAAGTGTCAATATTTCATTCACATAACAAGACACACAAAAATGCTGAACATGCTTTTGGACCGTGCGGGAGCCATTGACAGAGCCCAGCCCAAATGCGGGCCATACTAAAATTGAGTTGAGGTCTGCTGATCATTGGATTCGTCGGTAGGTAGGAGAGATTAGTTGGTATAGTTTCTTCAAAGTCTTCATTAATTTAGAAAATAATTGTTACAAATTTCAAATTGAATTAAGAGGGGTATATACGATATAGTGATGTAACAACTACCGTGTGGTGGTCCTTTTACACCCAAATTTAGCGCCTGCATTAAACTATAATGGACCATGCTATGTTTTGGTTTACATTGTTATTTAATTAATACGTTTGTTCTAGTACTACCTGATTGTTTTAGTATACTATACTCTCCTCGACTTTGGGAGTCGTGTTTTTGTCATAATTGGAGTGACCATTCAAACGTTCATCGACCTTAGGTATAATTTGCATAACTCTTTTGATAATTTAAAGTGATCGTGTAAGTCGCAACCAACATTCTTTAAATAAATATATTTTGAAGTTTTGGACTTTTAAAAAACAATATGTAGTAGGAGTAATAGACATATTATCCTGCTAATCAATACATAACCCCAAGTCCAATAATTTCTTAAAAGCAAATTTAAGCATGAGAGGAGAAGATTAGCCAATTACTGTTGTTAGATAAACAAGGATTAATAGTGTTTGGATGTCATTTAAGACTCGACAAGAAGTTTAGCATTTACGAGAAAGATTGCGTGGTTAGTTACTCTACTATATAACGGCTCTTTTGCGAAATTTGTGGCGTTTGCAAAGCAAGTTTCGGTGCTTCCCACGTTAGATTTGCATGCATGATTACATTTGTTAAACACCATCGGTTATAATTTATAATCTCTGCAAGATTTACGGTGTCAATAATCCTTCTTTTACCTAATTATCTCTGTTTTAATGTTTTATCTTACCTTTTTCTTTTTTCTTTTTTTTTTTTTTTTTGAATAGTGATTTATCTTTCTTGTAATGGAAGCATTTTATACAATTCTTAAATGGATTTTTCTACTCGTCAACAAAAGAAAAAAAAGAAAAAAAAGATTTTTCTAATGTAGACCCACTTTAGTATTACTACCTCTTTAATAAGAAATAGAGGTAATATAAGATTTCTATTACTACATAATTAAATTATTTTAACAAATACGGAGTAAATTAAAAGAATTCATATATTACCTTAGGTTCGTCATTTTCATATTAATTTTATTTTCAAAAGAAATGTCATTTAGTATGTCAGAACGATTGTTAGAAAATACTTATGTTATAACGTAAAACATGTCTATAAACTAAAGGTTTGTTCTAATTTACTAAAATAAACTAAACTGATTGGAGCTGAATTGAACTGAATATTTTATGAGAAAAAGAAATTAGGATCTGAACTGAATTGAATTGAAATTAAGGGCATGTTCACTTCAGATTATTTTCAGTTCAGTTTTAATCAGTTCAGTGCAGTTCTTAATTTCCTTCTCTCATAAAATATTTAGTTCATTAAGTTCAGTTCAACTCTAATAAGTTCGGTTCAATCTAGCTCAGTTCAATGAACTGGCCCTACGCTAAAGAGAAAAGGTCACAAGTTAAACTAGCAGAATATGTAAGGTGAGTTTTGGGCCAACATATGAATGTATGTACTGGCAATTGTAGACTGTTGTTGGCCAATGTACGAGATGCAGCAAGTCAAATTCTAGAAACTGAGTCGATACATTAGAAGGTTGACTTATATTAATAATAAAGAAATTAATGACTCCAAAATGATGTATGGAATACAGATTGGAATAAAAATAAATCAACCAAAAAATGAGTGAATATGAAAAAATGTCCGAATTGAAATAGAAAGCATGTGAAGAGAAATAATTCCAGTAGTACCCACATGTTTCCGCGTCCCCCTATTTATCAATCAACAGCAAATTAAAGATATACTACTATGATCATTACTCTTTTATTTCATGCTTTTCTATTCATTGTTCTCCAACCGTAACTCTCATTTCTGCCTTTCAATCAAACCTCGTTGCTATTTATTCACTCTCAATCACCTAATTTTAACCACATGATTGTAATTAAGCCTATGTAAGGCTAACTGGCTAAGGACAATTAGTTTAACTCGAAGCCAATCACCGTATACATCATCATTGTAGTGAATACTACTTCGTTCACAACATTTGGCTGTAAAGGTGTGTTCTTTTTGCATGAACTTAACCTATTATATGTAAATAGCGCTGATTTTCATCTTACATTTTACCTGGTTGGACATAATCAGCTCAAGTTAGGCCTAAAATTAATCTTTATCAAAGTAAATATATAGAACACACTCTATAAAATTATCATACCGTTATTAACATTTCAAAAATAAGATGGAATATTAGTAATTTGACAACCTCCATAACGCTAACAATATACATAGTACCTAAGTTTTACTAATAAAATTAAGACTATGAAAATAATCATGCATGATATGAGAAGAGGGTTGCATGCATGTATGGTGGGCTCGTTGCGTTGGCTAATTGGCTGGACCTTGTTGCCAATAGGGGTGTACAAAAATTGGTCCGGACCTGAAACCGGACCTGAACCGACCTGAACCGGACTGGACCTGATCCGGACCTGTTGATTCAGGTCCGGTCCCGGTTCTTAAAAATCCAGGTTCCCGGTCCCGGTCCGGACCCGGTCCAAACCCGGGGTTTTCAGGTCCGGACCTGAAACCCGGGAAAATCGTAATTAAAAAAAAAAAAAAAAAAAAAAAAAAAGAAGAAAACCAAACTCTGAAAAATTGAAACTGAGTTTTCGTGGACTTATTTGTATTTTAGGTGGACTCATTTGTATTTTTGGTGTTTGAGAATCGGGACTTTATAGACTTTATGTAGTTTTGTAATTGATAATTTTGGTTTGTATGTAATTATTAAATTATGCAACAGGTCTAAAAATCACAAAACAGGTCCATATGCAGGTCCATATGCAGGTCCAACAGGTTTTGTATTAAAAAAAAAACGAAAAAGACACAAAACAGGTCCATTCAGGTCCAAAGCCGGACCGGACCTGATTTTTCAGGTCTGGCCCGGAACCGGACCTGTTAATTCAGGTCCGGTCCCCGGTCCTCATAATTACCCAATTCAGGTCCCCGGTCCAAACAGGTCCGGTCTAGGTCTTGTCCGGTTTTGGACCGGTGTACACCCCTAGTTGCCAATGTCTGGCTATCTGCTTCTATACACTTTTTGCATCATCATATGGATATGCCTCAAAAAATAGACAAAACATTACATGCATTATTAATCTTGTACCAATAATTTCGTTGTCCATCTTTACATAATTTTGTCAACAGCTTTAGTATATACTTGTATACAATTATTATACATAATCTTTAATTCTTTATAACCACAATTTGTAGCTTTATGCATTAATTTGGCATGAAATCTAATTCTTCTCCGCAACTTTGATGCTTTTCTTCCAAGTGATGGCCTCTGTTCCACAATGTTAATTCTTTGATGTAATACTTTTCCATTAATTATATACTCATAATCAGTGGATAAAGACATATAATTAAGAACAAAGGGGGAAAAAAGTCTCAACTATCACTAAAGTTGTCTCTTTATTAGAGTTTTTCTAATTTAATTTTGTTATTAAAAGGGAAATAAAATAAACCATTAAAATTCATTGCAATTGTAACTTGCTCAAAAAGGAAGGGAGAAATAATTTCACACAAAAATGTTAAAGGTCACAAACGCAAACTACAAAGAGTAGTATTCAAATGATGTGACACTCATTAAATGGTACCAAGCAATTGACAATTAAAATTTCATTCTTCAAATTTTTTTTTACCACTAAATCATTTTTGTGACAATTTTTTTGTTGTTACTATTGATCATTAGAGACCTCATGTTTTCCCGACAAACGGTTCACCTAATTTTATTAACTAAATTTATCTTAAGTTATTAAATTGAACTAAATGTTTGTTCAATTCACTTTATTATCACTTACTTCAGATGTAATATATTCAAATAAGTTCAGAAAGAATATAGCACTAGCCCTATTCATTCATATAAGTGAAAATTAGGTGAATAAAACACATCTTAAATTTAAATTAATCACTAGACACTAGTCCTTATATGAAGTACGGAGTATGAGTTTATCTTGGCGTGATTTTATTAGTAGCAACTCTAACAAGACGGAGTATGAGCTTATGCCTTTTCCCTCCTAGCAGAGATGCAGTGTGACTTGCTGAGTTACATTCTTAAAAATTACAGTGACATTCAAATATTCCATAAACTAACAGTTAGGTCGACCGTTGAGCTAACAGTGAAAAGATGAAAAGCAATGTATGCACAAAAAAAGGGAAAGTGGACGGATAATAACAAATAGCTGATGATCAGTGCATGATGCAACAGGAGGAGATGAATGAGGGCGCATGTACAATAATACAGCTCATTATTTAACGAACAAAATAGAAAAGGCACTACTGTTTTTAAAAAAGGTCCCCCTTTTGCTAGGAAGCAACGGTCAATCAGGTAAGTGCGCGTGTGCTTTACCTATTTTCTCTCCCATTTTTTCTACAGCACACTCCAACTTTACACTCTTCCATACACATCTTTAGCCACAAATATATTCAATTTAATTTGAGTATTGAATAATACTCATAATTATAAATACTTTAAAATATTATACTGTAAATTCAGTTCAAGACAAATCTAACAACACGTACAGTTAAAATGTAACAATAGAAAAATACTATCTTCTTTTCATATTATTTGCAACGACTTGATATAAAATATGACTGTAAAGTGTCTAAATATTACAAATAATATAAAACAGTAAGATAAAGCCGGAATAATATTAATAACAGTATCTGACCTGTCAATTTGCTGTCAATTAACAATTGCCATGCTACTTTCTCTCTCATTATTCTTCCACCAAGATAGTCTTATATCATGACCGACAAATGCTAGCCTATATCCAACTACCCTTATTTTTTTTAATATTTGATTTAAATAATAATTATAGTTAATCAATAACTGTTTTTCTTAATTATATCTTCTTCTCGATGTGTTTGCTCTTGCCCCGGCGTAATTTTCTCTATTGACATTTTAATTCTTTTCCTTATTCCGATAAGGTTATTGATCATTTTAATAATTAAAATTAGCCGGTATTAATTAATGAACACAAACTAGTAATGAACACAAACTAGTAATTATATTAATTATTGATCATTATATTGTAGTTATATTAATTAATGAACACAAACTAGTAATTAATGTATTGTGCAAGATAACCTTGTTTAACAAATCAGATGTTTCCTCAAAAAAAAAAAAAAAAAAACAAATCAGATGTTTCTTATGTATTTAATTGTTGGAATATTTAATGGATTATATAAATGTAAATGTATATTTTTCATTTAAGATTAAAAATTATCAATTTGTGGACCAAGCGCCAAATTAAACCATAAGACAATGACAAAAATTGCTCATTTTGCTAATTCATTTTGAGTTAAAAAGCTTGTTACCAACATAATATCGATGCATGGTTATATGAATATCTCAAAAGATAATTGGAAAGGTAATTACTAAACAAGGATATCTACCTTTTTATTCTAAAAGCATAGCATATTGTTTAAAAAGTACTCGTATCATAATTAAGAAAAAGTCATAATTAAATTACTTTAGTAACAAAATGCTTTTCATTTACCTCATAGGACAAAGATGCATTTATTTTATTTTGTCTATAGAAACATTGCTGATTTTTTAAGCTTGTAAATTTCTAGTAAATAATGTATAAACAAGGGTTTTTTTTTTTTTCTTTTAAAAAACTTTGCAACTTATTTAATTTTTTGGTGCATGTAAATATTACCTTTACTTCTTTAGTAAAAAAGCTATTGTACTCCTCATTTAGATATACTTTTGAAATATTTTGTACAAATAGTTCTAGCTAACTCGAAAACAATAATTATACGAGTAAAAATTATCGTGATGATAAAAAAGAAGTATGCAATTTGTTGTAATATGTACCACAATGCACAATCGATCTCAATTCCCTTTTGCTACACCAATTGGTTGTTGGTGTAGTGGTGATTGAGACTACACTTGGTAGGGAGGACTCGTGTTCGATCCCCCGCAACAACAATCGGGAGGGGACTGGAACCTAACCACCCAGAACTGATCCCCGAATCCGGATTAGCCCAAAGGGTGAACCGGGTGGAACACCAAAAAAAAAAAAAAAAAAAAAAAAAAAAAACATGAATTTCAATATTCATTTATTCCCAAAACTACCAAACACAAATGTGAAAACAAAACACATATGCTTAAAATTTTCTAAACAAAAATTTAGATATAAGAAGAGACTAGTATATGTAAAGTTTATGCTTACGTGAACTTATACCATACTTCAAATTTAATTTTTAATAAATGGGGTGTAGCATTTTCCTTATTAAAAAATGTTTTTTCGTAAAAAAGAAGAAAAAAAACGATTATTTATTTCTGCCCCATAAAAAAAACCTCATATTCTGTAAATAACAATTTCATCATTGTCTCTTTCTCTCTCTTGCTCCCCTGCCTCTGCTTTTCTCTCTCCAAAAGCTGATAATGTAAACACACAAAACTCAAATAAATTTGGCATTAAACTCTTGAAAACATCAAAGAAAAACCTCCATTTTTTCTGAACACAGAAAAATAAAATGGTTTCAACTAGCACTACCATAGTGTTAATTGGGCTCCTAATTTCAGTGTTAGTGAGCTTATCTTCAGCTGGTGATGCCTTTGTTTACTATGATTTTGAAGTCTCATACATCACTGCTTCTCCATTGGGTGTTCCTGAGCAGGTTTACATTCATCAGATCTTCTAATTTCTTGCTTAAAATTTCAATTTTTTGTTCATTTAATTATCTGGGTATTGCTTTAATTTTGTATTAAATGATAGGTTTTACTCAAATTTATGTAAAAATAAGTAGTCTTTAATCTAGATCTATAAAATGTGCTTTAATTTGTACCATTAAACATCTAAAGTTGCAATCTTTTATATTGAACTGTTCATGTTCATGATTTGCAATTTTGCTAAAGTTCTTAGCTTTTATTTGTTTTTTTTTTTTTGAATTTTTTTGAAAATTTTTGGCTTTTTTTTTTTTTTTTTTTTTTTTTTTTTTTGCATGTAGGTCATTGCTATTAATGGTAAATTTCCAGGACCTCCCATCAATGTCACTACTAACAACAATGTAGTTGTTAATGTGCACAACAAATTGGATGAAGAACTCTTAATGACATGGTAACATTTCAATTTCCTTTCATTTTTTGGTTATAATTTGAGTGAATATGAGTACCATATTAATTATATAAAAAAGATGTATAATATTGGCAACACTACAGGGCAGGAGTATTTCAAAGGAGAACTCACTGGCAAGATGGAGTATTAGGAACTAATTGCCCAATTCCTCCTAAGTGGAATTGGACTTACCAATTCCAAGTTAAGGATCAAATTGGGAGTTTCTTTTACTTCCCTTCTCTCAATTTCCAAAGAGCTTCTGGTGGTTATGGTGGAATTATTATCAACAATCGTCCAGTTATTGCGATTCCTTTCGCCACGCCCGAGGCCGATATCATCCTCATGATCGGAGATTGGTACTCTAAGAGCCACTCGGTTAGTGTTACAAACACCCATTAGTTTAGCATAATGTGTAATCTTGGTAATGTATGCATTTTTCTGAGTGAAAACTTTGAAATTTTCAGGATTTGAGGAAAACCCTTAATGGAGGCAAATCTCTAGGAATGCCAGATGGTGTTCTTATTAATGGAAAAGGTCCTTACAAATATAATAACAGTGTTCCTGATGGCATTGATTATGAAATTATAGATGTTCATCCAGGTAAATCATAAGATCTTAGTTTTTAAATTTTATTTTTGGAAATTTAAGTTCATTGCATGTTATATTTGATTGAATGTTATTACTATATTTAACTGTGAATAATGTTAATTAAAAGAGCTTACTTGAGAGTTTAACCTTATTTGGCTGGTCAAGATTTCTGCTTCCTGGGTTAGAGTTGTTCTTTTGCTTTTAGTGTTTTCCACATAATGTGTTGACTAAGTTTGTGCCTCACTTGCTTAATTCAGAAGCCATGTGCTTCATACACTGTATGAATGAATCCTATTATATTTAATTTAAATGTTGATTTTTATTAATAACTCTTTTGCTGACTAAACCTCATTATAATGGTAATTTTATTTCTTTGGTGGGGTTATTGTTGTTGCTTATGGTTATATTGTCTTCCTTCTTTGTGTGTTGGACCCTATTTGCCTGCACAATAATTTAAATTTTCAACTTTTTTGCTGTCATGACAACTAAGATAATCTTATTGAAGCTTTTTAAAAAATTGTTTAAACTTGTACTTTTAATTATCGGAGCTAGTTAAGATTTTGGGGGGTTGTATCCAGGATTTCGAAAGGCGTCCTGTCTCATCACGCTCTTTTGAGGCTTCCTATAAACCAAAATAATTAGGGAAATTTTCACTCACTAATTGCATGTGGATTATAGAAATTATATGTTCTTGGGAATGCTCTTGCTTGTTTTTTCTGTATTTGATTTATCTACACCAGTGTCGGATTAAGTCCAAATGATTATTTATGTTAGCTTAACATTTAACAACAATATTTTCAGGGAAAACATACCGTCTTCGTGTACACAATGTTGGAGTCTCAACTAGCTTGAACTTCAGAATTCAGAGCCACAATCTGCTTTTGGCAGAAGTTGAGGGATCCTACACTGTGCAGCAAAATTACACTAGCTTGGACATTCATGCGGGACAATCTTACTCATTTTTGCTAACAACTGATCAAAATGCCAGCTCTGATTACTACATAGTCGCCAGTGCTCGTATGGTCAATCAAACGACTTGGCAGAAAGTTACTGGTGTTGCAATCTTGCGTTACTCAAATTCCAAAGGAAAGGCACACGGCCCCCTCCCAGACCCTCCACAAGATGAAAATGACAAGACATTCTCCATGAACCAGGCCAGATCAATCAGGTTTGCCCTTAAAGTTAATCTTAAATGTGATACGCTTCAGATGTCGGATCTTTTCAGTTTTTAGTACATATATAAATTACTTCTACCTAGAGCATTACTGTGTTAGGAAATGATTAGAAAATTAGTTATTCTTTCTATACCATGTATGTGAGCTGAAATGTTCTGTGGTCATATTGTGTAGGTGGAATGTGTCTGCTAGTGGTGCCCGTCCTAACCCACAGGGTTCCTTTAGATATGGTGACATAAATGTGACTGATGTTTTCCTCATACAAAACAAGCCCCCTGTGAAGATAGGTGGGAAAAAACGCACCGCACTTAATGGGGTTTCATTTGTCAATCCTACCACACCAATGAGGCTTGCTGATAAGCACCATTTGAAAGGCATCTATAAGATGGACTTTCCCCACAAACCCTTGACAGGGGCCCCTCGCATGGAAACATCAATTATCAATGGTACTTACAGGGGATTTTTGGAGATCATCCTTCAAAACAATGCGTCCAAGGTCCACACTTACCACCTTGATGGATACAACTTTTTCGTGGTTGGGTAAGGATCCTCACTTCTTTAGCCTTTCCAATTATGTCACTGTTTACTTATTCGAACTTTCGAAAATTGTGAATTGAAGTTGAGTAGCCTTTATCTGAGCGTGAGCTTATTGGTTCATCTTAATCTTACCCTTTATCTTATTCTTTCAAGTGAAGAGAACACAACTATGTGATTATATATTATCTGTACTAACCATTCTTAATTTTTTTGGATGTTTTCAATACAGTATGGATTATGGTGAGTGGTCGAATAACAGTAGAGGAACATACAACAAATGGGATGGAATTGCTCGTACCACAGCACAGGTATCGATCTTGTTTTATTCTACTAATCCATGCTTCCTTTTTCATCTTACTCCATTTTGAAATCAATCAAGCTGTGGAAAACTTGAAAGATACCAGTAAGTTCAAAAAAGTTCATCTTATGAAAATACTAAACCTTGAAATTCCCTTCTGTAGGTTTATCCTGGGGCTTGGACTGCTATTTTGGTTTCACTCGATAATGTCGGTGTTTGGAATTTGAGAACTACAAACCTTGACTCATGGTATCTTGGACAAGAGACCTATATCAGGGTAGTCAATCCAGAAACCGCAGGCAATCCACAGTTGGCGTTGAAAACTGAGCTGCCTGCTCCTGACAATGTCCTATTCTGCGGTGCACTCAAGAAGTTGCAGAAGTATGTTCTTGTACCCCAATGTTCCATAAATTTACTCTGTATTTGCCTAACAAGTTATCCAACCAATGGGGCAAAATGTCTTAGATACTACCTTTAGTGAGCTAATTGTTCTTGGATTCAAGTGAGGGTATTATCAACATTTTGCCCCGGCCTGTTTGTTGTCCAACTGTTAGTCAATGCCAGACTCTCATTGTCTGCTTATCTGAATGTACAAGGAGACTCATAACGTTTTTTTTTGCTGTTTGTTTCTGTACAGGCCTCAAGATATCTCTTCTGCAGCCATAAATCCTATCCAGCTCATCTTTACGTTGTTGATGATATGCGCGACCATATTTCATTTCCATTGAGGCATTATAACCCGGATGGATGTGATTGTTTAGTTTTCGGGAGCATGGTCTGTTGGTGAGATTTGCTTCTAGAGTGTGCATGTTTTCTTTTTTAGGTTTGTCAATATGGATATCCACATTTCTTCGGCCCCCCCTTTTTTTATATCTTAGATTTTTTTTAATACTCTTAATGCTCCCAGAGTCTCTGTAGTAGCCTAATTCATGAGAGTAATCATTCTTTCTATTCCACGATTTATTTATCAAATGTAATCATGACTATTTATTTGTCTAAATTTCCATACTCAATAGAGTTCTTCTCCTTGTCACCAAGATGTCATGTTTATAAGTTCCTTGTCATTCTTGAAGAAGGTTCTGGATACAACATCCCTAACTGTTTTTACTCTTGTCGCTATGCGTCAGGAAGCATACATCTAGTCCTGACTATAGTTGTCAGAAATCAGAAGTACTATCTATCATGCTGTAACAACCTTATACAAGTATAATGTTTTCCTGCAAAAGTCTGAATGAAGCTGAACAGCCCCTTTATTTTCTAATGTACTGCAAATCTGCAATTTCTCGTTTGAATTACAATTTTTCGATGTCTTTTGTCCTACACAATTAGTGACCATAACAAAATGTAAGACATAAATTATGAAACACTAGAACAATTTTCCACTATTTGTGGCAGCCTCACGAAATTCAACAACCACTTTAATTGCTCTGATTTTGTGGATTAACCTAACCTTTAGCTTTGGACAATTTTTTTATTTTTCCTAAACCGAAAAAGAAATAAGCCTGGGTGCTTCTAGAGCTGTTAAAAGTTGCCCGACCCGAAATACCGACTCAAACCCGGTTATTATCCGACCCATTTAAACCCGAAAAATGGTGACCCAAACTCGACCTGAAACCAACCCTAGACCCGAGTTAACCCGAGTATGTGAGACACGAACCCGAACATGAACTGACCTAGAGATGACCCGACCCGAATGTAACCCGTAAATTATTGACCTGAACCGAACCCGACTTAAACCGAAATTGACCCAAACCCGTTTTAACCCGTCAAAACCTGAACTTAACCCGAGTTATTACTAACCTGACCTGAATTCAACCCGACCCGTTCCTAACCCGACCTGAATTTAACCCAACCTGTTACAAACCCGACCCGAAATCGACCCTACTTGTTATTAACTTGACCCAAATTCAACCCGACTTGTTATTGACCCTACCCGAATTTAACCAGACCTATTACTAACCCGACCCAAAAATTCAACCCGATCTGTTACTAACCCGACTCAAAATCAACACGATTTGTTATTGACACAACCTAAATTCAACCCAAATTGTTCCTGACCCTATTTCAAATCACCTTAATGCAATTTAGACCACCTTATTATTGTTGATCAAAGCATTTTGTATAGGGAGACCAAGTTGGTCCAGGCCAACAAAAGAAAGGAGCATCATCCTCAAATTTAAGAGTTAAATATAATATATATTTGTTGCTTGGCCAAAGAAGATAACTATCTTCCTAAATTATAGACTATAGTTGCCTAGTATATTGTCATATATATTATAGTCAAAGGAAATAATTAACTTGATAAAAATGATAATTATCTATTCATAGTTAGTTGAACCCGAATATGACCTGACTTGGAATTGACCCGACCTAACTGTAACCTACAAATTATTGACTTGAACATAACCAGACTTGAATCCGAGAATGACCAGACTTGGAAATGACCTAACCTGATTATAACCCGCAAATTATTCACTTAAACCGAACCCAACTTGAACCCGAGAATGACCCAACCTGATTATAACCCACAAATTATTGACTTGAACCAAACCCGACTAAAATCCGAGAATGAGCTGACCTGATTCTAACCAGCAAATTATTGACTTGAACCGAACCCGACTCGAACCCGAGAATTACCTTAACCCATTTTTACACGTGAAAACCCGAATTAAACATGACCTATTGTTTACCCGATCCGAATGTAACCCGACCTAAACTCGACCCAAACCCGATAAGAAATATGACCCGACGTGACCCGACTCAAGCATGACCAAACCCAAACCCGACCTGCATAGGTTGCGGAATTAATCTCAATTGACCCGACCCGAGTTGACTCGAACCACACTTACTAACCCAAACCCGACCCGTTTACCCGAATTGACAGCTCTACCTAAAACCTCCAAAATTTCGCAAAAAGTGTGGATATTAGCCTTCAATTTTGGAATTTTTTGACTTTTTTTTCACCCGAAAATAAAAATTGCCGAAATGTTTACCATGGTCCCTAATACCCTCCGGGATTCCAATTGGTTGGGTGAAACCATCCAATTTGCCTTTAAGCGACCAATTACTGGTTTACAACTTGCACCAATATGATTAACTCAAGCCTACCACGAACATTTATAACAACATATAATGATCATATATGGTTCCAAACGACATTATATGACCCCGAGATGTTTTACCTAAAATCTCAATGTTTTTTTGACACCGAGCAGTGAAACATTCGAAATTTCTCAAAAAGCGTGGATATTAAAAAGGATTCCCCGCTAAATGGATAACGTTCGCTACCAATGGGAAATTTTAATTGTCGTATCTTAAATCCGATTTAGACTGACAGAAACCATAAATTTCATACTCAATAGATGAATAGATCTTTTTCATTTTATTCGTTTTAGATAGTGACAGGAGTTTTATACTATTCCATTCACGATACTGGAAAAATTATTTCTTTTGTTTTTGTTCCAGCTCATAATCGGAACGAGTCACACATACACCCTAGTACATGTTCCTCGGCGCTGAGGGCATCCCCAAAGCGCGGGGGATTTCGTTACATTTCTGATTGGCTGTCTTGTGTTTCTAATAAGTTGTTTAATAGTTGGCATGCTGAATCGTATACATAATGGGCTGGTTTAGATCAATCCTAACCGAAAGTATTTCTAGTTAATAGAATATTAAACCCAGAATATGGTAAACCCAGTAACAAGATAAAATTTAAAATCTTTCGCTTTTTTTATTCATTTTATTCGACCGCGACAAGATCAATAATTCCATGGGCTTGGGCTTCTGTTGCTGACATAAAAAAATCCCTTTCCATATCTTCAGATATAATCCATAAGGGTTTCCCCGTTCTTTGTCCATAAACCCTTGTGAGGATTTCGCGCAATTTCAAAAGTTCTTCCGCTTCCAGGAGAAATTCTCCCGTTTGGGCCTTAGCCTTTAAATTCGGAATTTTTTTTGTCTTTTTTTTCACTCAGATATAAAAATTGCCGATAGTTTACCGTGTTCCCTAATACCCTCCGGGATTCCAATTATTGGGTGGGTGGAACCATCCAATTTGCCTTTAAACGACCAATTTACTGGTTTACAATTTGCACCGATTTCATTGATTCAAGCCTACCACGAACATTTATGACAACAAATAATGATCATATATGGTTCCAAACGACATTATATGACCCCAATATGTTTTCCCTAGAGTTTCAAGACTTTTCGACACCGGGCCCCGAAGACTAAAAAAAAATTCTCTAAAAACTTGGATATATCCTTCAATTTTGGAATTTTTTGACATTTTTTGCCCGGAAATAAAAATCGTCAAAATGTTTACCATGGTCTCTAATACCCCCCGGGAGTCCAATTGGTGTGGGTGGAACCATCCAATTTGCCTCTAAACAGCCAATTTACCGGTTTACAACTTGCGCCGATTTCTTTAACTCAAGTCTATTACAAATATTTATGACAACATATAATGAACATATATGGTTCCAAACGACATTACATTACCCCGAGATGTATCGCTTATAATCTAAAGGCTTTTCGATACCGGGACACGAAACCTCCAAATTTTCTCAAAAAGCGTGGATATTAGCCTTCAATTTTGGAAACTTTATTACTTTTTTTTGCCCGGAAATAAAAATTTCCGAAATGTTTACCATGGTCTCTAATACCCTCCGGGAGTCCAATTGGGTGGGTGGAACCATCCTATTTGCCTTTAAACGGCCAATTTACCGGTTTACAACTTGCACCAATTTAATTAAATCAAGCCTATTACGAACATTTATGACAACATATAATGATCATATATAGTTCCAACTTCCAAACGGCATAATATGACCCCAATATGTATCCCATAAAATCTCAAAACTTTTCGACACCGGGCCTCGAAACATCCCAAATTTCTCAAAAAGCATGGATTACAATTTTGGAATTTTTTGACTATTTTTCGCCCAGAAATAATAATTGTCGAAATGTTTACCATGGTCCCTAATTCCCTCTGAGAAACCAATTGGGTGGGTGGAATCATCCAATTGGCCTTTAAACGACATTTTTACCGGTTGAAAACTTGCATCGATTTCATTAATTCAAGCCTACCACGAACATTTATGACAACAAATAATGATCATATATGGTTCCAAACAGCATTATATGACCCCGAGATGTATCCCATAGAATTTCAAGACTTTTCGACACCGGGCCATGAAACCTCCAAAATTTCTCAAAAAGCGTGGATATTATTAGCCTTCAATTTTGGAATTTTTTGACTTTTTTTCACCCGTTATTTAAATTGGCGAAATGTTTACAATGATCCCTAATGTCGTCCGGGAGTCCAATTGGATGGGTGAAACCATACAACTTGCCATTAAACGACCAATTTACCGGTTTACAACTTGCACCGATTTCATTAACTCAAGCCTATCACGGACATTTATGACAGCATATAATGATCATACATGGTTCTAAAAGTAATTATGTGACCCCGAGATGTATCACCAAAAATCTAAAGGATTTTAGATATCGGGACCCAAAACCTCCAAAATTTCTAAAAAAGCGTGGATATTAGCCTTCAATTTTAGAATTTTTCGACTTTTTTTCGCCCTAAAATAAAAATTGCCAAAAAGTTTACCATGATCCCTAATACCCTTCGGGAGTCCAATTGGGTAGGTGGAACCATCCAATTTGCCTTTAAACGACCAATTTTTCAGTTTACGTCTTGCATCGATTTCACTAATTCAAGCTTACCACGAACATTTATGACAATATATAATGATCATTTATGGTTCCAAACGACATTATATGAACCCAAAATTTATTCCCTAAAATCTCAAATCTTTTCGATACCGGGCCCCGAAACCTCCAAAATTTCTCAAAAAAACGTGGATATTAGCCTTCAAGTTTGGAATTTTTTGACTTTTGTTCTCCCGGAAATAAAAATTGTTGAAATGTTTAACATGTTCCTTAACACCCTCAGGGAGTTCAATAGGTTGGGTGGAACCATCCAATTTGCCTTTAAACGACCAATTTACCAGTTTACAACTTGCAC